GAGACATAGTAATGTAAACGAGACAGTACAGCTTGGGCCAGACCGCGAATCTGACCAATCCCGTGACAACAGGAACTACGGCGGTAAACTCAAACAAAGATGGCTGATTCTAAGAACACACATTGTAAATATAAAAACAGACGACCTGAAATAGTTTTTATCGTTTTCGTAAAGAACTTGAAAGGTAAGGTAAGTCAATCGGTGGATAAGTAGGTAAAGCGCGTATTATTCTGAGAAAATTTGTTTCAAAACACACACCTTTGTATTCACCTTAATGAAAGCGTGTATTGTAACCTGTGCTCTAAGCAGATCTCTAGATATAGATATAGATTCTAGATATAGATAGATCTATTGTAAATCTGGGTTTTACGTCTAGGCTTCCTCGCATCTGGAGATGGCCCTCTTTGTTGTGTTCTAATTTGTTGGTGTGTTAATTTTTTGTGTTATTGTTTTGTATTGTTTTTCTATTTTTGTGTTTATATAGCGTAATGTCATTTATTTTTATGTTATTCCTACTTTTTTAATAAAAATAATGTGTTATGTTAAAGCGTGTCTCCACCAACCAGCTGATGATAGAGACAATATACAAAACGAATACTAACACTGGCAGACCCCTTGTGTGTGATTCTATACTTTATGTGTATTTTTTCTTGAATTACACACGTTTAGGATGAAAACGGCCAGTCTTCGGATAGGTTGATACGCGGCCTTATATGTTAATTTTTGTGGCTGTTTATGAGCTGCTCTGATTTTGATTTCATTCTGTTGTGAAACCTTCATTTTTCACGTTTTTTACACTCTGGCTACAAATGATTTTCTGTATGCTTAAAACAGAGCACAAAAAATTTTGCTGCTTTAGATTAAGTTATCTCTATCAACGTATTGCAATGTACGTGGTCACAGAGAGTTGAAAGATTGAATATTAATGGCAACTTTTATAGCAATGTTTGCCATTTTTTGTGGCAACTTTTGGCAACTTTTTGACCCCCAAAAAATAAAAAGGCAGCAAACGCAGATGCTAGCATAACTTGCTCACTTATGGAGCAATTGGAGACCCGAGAACAACAAAATCTTATTATAATGTAGCTAAGCCCGTATGTGAAGTCAATATACATTCTTTCCACAGGTGCTCATAAAATCTACAAAAATATGATTCAGTTAAGAATTGTCACAAATGGTTACGTGGGTATATTTTCAAAGTTCGGAAACTACCTTTGTATTTTTCAGGTTTGGTAGTTTTTCCTGTAAATCGAAGCTCTCCATAGCCATTTCATATTTTAATGGGGACTACATTCGTTTCGATTCGTGCTTCGTCGTGTGTGTGAGACAGCTGCTCCTACTATTTCCAGATCTAGAATCTCGATATCCAACTCTGTTTGGATGTGTGCTTCGCAGTGTTGATGGATACTTCAGGCCAAACGTCTTTGTATAGACCTTTTTTAGATACATTTGCGATGTAGTGATGCACCCAACACGTTATGTTCGTTTAGATTAACAAAATAGTTACTTCCTTTCTATTGACGTTTTCAAAATTTGGCTTATATTTGGTGCGTAGTTGTTGTTTTTTTATTTATTTTTTTCTTCTACAGAGCAAGACTCTAGAAATAGGTCTCTGTATATCCTGGACGTATTTGGAGGTCAGAATTCAAGACTGATTTGCAGTAGTTAGCGAAAACAGAAATGCCATTTGTGCTGTGTGACTGAAGGGTCATAGATTTGAACCCTGCCATGGGGCCGAAATTGTGTCCTTGATAGAGATACCTTGTATAAATTTTTCTCACTTCGTCGAAGTGGAATGGGCGCCCGGCTGTAGGCGGTAAAGATGTGTTGTACAAATAAGTTCCGATTAGAGAGCTTAAGTAGACTCTTACTGGATTTAATCATGTTGTAGCATGTAGGCTAGGCATCTTTAAACAAAAATAAACGGACGTAGGGACAGAATAGCGCTTTGTCCGTTCTATTGATATATTATAGGCCTTTGTCGCTGCTTTCGAATGATATGCTCTATTTTTAGGAAAATGGGGCAAGCTTGTTGTTGTTCTCAGGTCTTCAAATTGTCTTGAGATGTAGACACAATATGCTCCGTAATTGAAAGGTTAGGTCAGTACTTAAGCTGCCCCAGACCTGTGAGTAATAATCTGCCGTCTTATGACAGAAAAGTGTACATGCCAAAAATGATTTTACAAGAGGTACAAAATTCGAATATTTGTGTGTATTTCAAATTAAGTAAAATTAGAACCAGCTGATTATTTTATGTAAATATTCATTCGCCAGTCTAAACTTCGTCTGGTTTGCTCAGGTATACAGTAAACGGTTATGGAGTAACAATAGCGATATGTAATTAGGTCATAACGCATAATAATATTTTCAAAAGCCCAAAATTCTTTAATTTTGATAGTCCAGCCATAAACCAAAATAGAAAAACGTGCAACGAAAAGGGTTTTCTCTCCGGTATAAAAACACTAATTAATCTAATTACGCATAGATCTACGCGTTGTTTTTTGTTGGGTTTTTTTGTTGTTTTTTGTTGTTGTTTGGGGTTTGTTTTTTGTGTTGTTGTTGTTGTAAAACGAT